TGCAAATGCATCCTTAGGATTTTGTGTACTTTCATATGTTATGACTATTCTGGGAAAGATGATTCAAAGTATTTTGGATGATACAAACGAAAAAGATGTGAATCAAGACATTTATCATTTTGCAGTTTATAAAAAAAGTGATTAAGTCACATAACTGCCCAAAATTCTGTTTTATAAGCTTGGTCAGCAGTAGAAATGTGCATGTTAAATACATGCTCCAGATGATTCTAACATTTTACTTTCTGACAAACATGACCACAGAGTCATGGACAACCAAAAATACAGAGTTAAAGTCCAGCAGCTAAAAAAGAAATCTCACAGACAAAAACCCTGTTTGGGGTTTCTGTCGGAGTAAGAGTTTTTTCCTTAGCCTCTCATGCATTCTTTCCACCATATTCCAGCCAAATGACCATTCAGCCCATTTGTGAATTTATTCCCACACATAAATTCATCTGTTTTCCACATGAAACCATAAACATCAAGGCTCTCCATTCTAACCAGATATGGTAGTGCAATCCTATAACCCCAGCCTTTGGGAGACTGAAGCAGGAAGATCTCAAGTTTGAGCCCCAACTGGGCAATCTAGCAAGATCTGTCTCACATTCATTCATTCACACACACCCACCCAAATGGGGTTGGGGATATAATTCAGTACATAGATCTTGGGTTCAATTACCAGTACTACAAAAATAAGAACAGAAGCTATAAACTCCAGAAATATAGTTTTGATTTTTTTTTTTAAGCCAGGGATTGATCTTGCGCTTGCCAGGCAGGCGCTTGTGCTGCTAAGCTAAATCCCCACCCTAATACTACAAAAATAAATAGACACAAAAAACTCTTTCCATTACTCTCTTCCCCATAAGCCAAGCAGCCTAGATGCCTCCAAAAACTCTTTGCTGACTTTTTGAGACAAGGTCTCATTATGCAGTTCAGGTTGGTCTCGAACCCACTATGGAGTCCAGGTTGGTCTAGAATTCATGTGATCCTCCTGCCTCAGCCTTTCAAGGGTGGGGATTACAGGTATATGACAACCATGCCCGGCTTCACTAACATTTCTACATTTGATATTCTGACTAGCACAGTTAAGAATCAAGGTAAAGGAATGCTGCCACATTACCCAAACCAGATTTTGTTCCTTTACTAAAATAAACATCAAATTAAGCAATCTTTTGGTATAAATAATGTTCAATTCTGTTATACTGCAATTTGTGCCCCAGTCTAATCCTTCCAAATAAGTTAAAAAGAGAATACCATCATACTAATATTGCTCATGTTCTGTAATAAGCATTCTTCCTAAGGTTTCTTCTGGATCCTCTGGGGAGTAGTGGAAATACCATCATCAAGAAGAAAAAAGCAAAAGAGAATTAAAAGCTTAAGAACATTACCTGCAGTCCTAGCAAACAGGAATCCAAGGTCTCATATGCCTCAGAAAGAATTTATATAAAGGTGCTGCTCCCTTCTCTCACTAACTGTCCCTTACAAACAACTTCCACATAACTCACCATGAGAAAAGAAAAACAACTGCAGGTCTGAGCAACCCCAAGTCTGGAGGAAACCAGCTACATCCACAACTACTTGCCACTTAACTTGAACACCCATGAAAACACACATCTAAAAACTCAATCTATCATCTACTGTAACAGCTGCCCAAAATCTTCTAATCACTAAGGCCCTGAGTACTTAATGAGCTCCACAACTATTCATAAGCCAGATTTGTTTGTAAGCCTAATGTGTTACACAGCACACCTGTGAAAAATAAGCACTTGAATGTTCGTAAGTGGGGCCTTACTATAATTGTATTAATATTTCTATTAACAAGAAGAAAATACCTATCACTTGTTGACAAAAACTATTATATATTGAAAAAAATTAGAAGACACACACTATAAAAACACTGGTTATTTATCAGAAGTTTGGACTTTCATCGATCACCTAACACCTGTCATTACCTTGAGGAAATCTTTACCTCCATGCTTCAATTTCTGTATTTCTCTAACAGAGAGCCTGAGTAACAACACTTAAATACGTTAAAACATACTGTAAATGACAGTTAAAAATGTTAAGCAATGGCCAGTCTCAAAGGTACTCAAACTAAATGAAGAGCCTGTAAGTGACAACTCAGTTTCTTTACGTTTTGGTTAGGAAATGGATGGAGAGGCAACAAGAGGAAACAGAGACCCAAAAGCATGAAAGGAAGGAGACCTGAAATGTCCAAAGGATAGGACAAATGAGAAAGGAAGGTTCACGGATGGCAAAGTATGATGTCTCAATTCTTTGCTGCTACTGAAGGAAGAACAATAAAAAGTGGTGGAGATATTCTGGTCTCCAATAAAGTCAAGTTTAGTAAGGAACCTTGCTACCAGGTAAAACGATAAAGCTACAGTACATTAAATGCCATTACTTTGCAAATAAATCCGCCATCATTGTCCAGAGACTAAGAAACATCTACTGGGTAGGGAGCAGTATACACTGGAATATACCTCTACCAGAAATTAGAAGCCCAAACCTTAATCTCAGAGCTTTGCTAATAGTCTAAGCAATATAACTCTGTTATATACATTTCTGAGGGACTTACATAAAAATTAAGATCAGCTAACACTATTTTACAGACGTATAGCCGTGATTTCATAAAATCTCACCCAATGGTGGTACAGACAAAGTGAAGTATGCACATTTATAACCAAAGACATCCTGAAGGTACACTGTATTAGAAATTCTTGTGTAAGATACGGCTTTAAAAGGTGAAAAATTAATTAGGTAAAATGCATCAAATTAATACTAAAGATTAAATTTCAAGAGGGAAAATTCAATCGCTGCCGCTATTATTTAATCACTTAAAATACATTCACAGTAACTGCTGAAATAAATGCTACTAATCTGAATTCTAGACAAGAGATTTTCTTGTGTGTGGTACTGGGATTGGACTGAGCCTCATAAATCTAGCGAAGTACTTTACCAATGAGCTGCAATACAAGCCCATCTGTCTTGAATTCTGAAATCTAAGAAGGACAGATACAGAAAATGGAAGTGCCCTTCCTAAGAAGTCAGTCTGGTTCCCTCCTTCTTCAAAAAGACTGATGTAAAACGATTAGCACTTTAAATCTTTAGTGAGATTTCAGAAAATCGTAAGAAATGATTACTCGTTAGTGTAAATTTCTTGGCCTATCTACCAAGTAAAATGTTTGAAAATTAACTATGTTACATCTTGAATTATAAATTAATTCTAAACATGGTCTTTAGGAAACATGAACTACTACTTTGAACATAACTACTAAGCCTATTTCAAAATATTTGTTCCATTTTTCTTAAAATTTCACCCATTTTTTCCACATCTCATTTGACTTTAAACAAGCTACCACCTACAAAAGATGAAAATGGCAGCATTCTTAAGCAAAATACTTCCAAGTTAGCTTTTAAGTGACAAAGTTTAAAATAATATGATTCAGATGACCTCACTGACTGTTTCTGTAATCAAGATTAAACACAGTAAGCAAAATTAGTTTTTAAAAACATTTTCTTAAAACACCTTTCTTTAAAACAAAAAGCCAAGTGTAGACAGCCATATTTTTAATTAGAAAGAAAGCAAAAAACAAAGACCCACACCCAAGAGCAAGCAGAGGGTGCTGATGGGAAACCTGCTCTAAGCTCCTAAACTGTCATGTCAACATTCACTCCTTGGTTATCTAACATGAAAGTCAGCAAAACACATGAAGACAACCAGTCAGAAATTCTGGGTTCTGGTTGTCCTGATCTCAATTTCCTTGTGTATCTAAAGGGTAACTGAAATGATTTCTAAGGTCACCTCTTAAGACCAGAAAACTAATTTAGGCCCCCTTCCCAGCAAACCATTCTTTTTCAAGCAAGCTTGAGTCTTACTTTTGTTTTTCCAACCAAATACTTAAATAAAAAGTTAAAAGGATACATATTTAGTATTTGTGCATCTTCTAATCAGACACTATTAATCATTTCTTTTAAAATTAAATTACCTACCTCACTGGGGTGTTGTGAGGATTAATTCATTAGTGTTTGTAAAGCACTTTGAGATCCTCAGGTCAAAGGCGCTATAGAAGTGCAAAGTAGTAGTATTATTACTAGATTCTTTGCTTATTTAAGGAATTTCACAATCCTTTAAAGCCTAATTCTGTGTTATGACATCTTTTTTTAAAAATCCTGTATTGTATCCACATTATTTTAATTTCTTTTTGAGTATGTTATAGACAGGGTGCCAGTGTTTTCAAAACAAACGACTTTAAAGGTTAAATTCTGATCTACAAATGAGGAGATAAAAGAGTCAGGGAAAAACCATTGTGGCAATTTTATTTAGCATAACATTTTGGTGAGAAATCCTGTCAACCAGATTTAGAAGTGTGCCTAAGTCTTAAGAAAAATAAAACAAAACGCACTTTAAACATAATGATTCGGCAACAAAATTCCTTTCTTCAAAGAGAAAAGGAAACACAGCCCAATCCACTTACTAACAGCTAGCAAACCGTCCTTACACATTCTGTGTACATGCATATACATGCAACTGTCCTTCACACTTATTTTTAAATTACAGCCACAGTATTAACACCAAAACCACGGAGCTAGCTTCTTTTCCTTTAAAATGGCTTCCCATCTTCACTCACATAAAGCAAGTTCAGCACTGAGAAGAGGTCAAAGCAACTCTGCTTTATGGAATTTTAAGAGAAAACTTAATAGCCAAGGATCACGAATTCAAAATTAGTTAAAACCTTTTGGATTGTTTCATTATTTCCCACCCACTTCTCTAACCAGATCTTTTTACATTAAAGTGTGCTTTAAGTCAAAACAATGCACGCACCATGTACACACATTTGTGATAAAGCTAAGGAACCAGAGAACTACATATTGAATATTCTCAATAAAGACTTCTTCAATAAACTGATGTTCTTTCAACATCCTCTTATGAGCTTCTCCAGTGCCACACAAGCTCCAGTCTCATGATCAAACTGAAAATGATATAAATCTTAAACACTTACCTCCTGCTCCTGTTGAAAGATGACAACTCTACCACCTTTATCTCCTGTAGCTAGTAATTCTCCAGAATGATTAAATTCTACTGTAGAAATTATATCTGCTGCATAAATGAAACAAAAACAGACATTAGTTGTTTGCCAGTTTCCTAGGTCTGAGAATTAGCACGTTTCCTAGCATATGCTAAGCCTCTATCAGCCTGCCATCACAGTAAATTTTCTTTCATGAATATCTGATTCGCCAAAAAAGATTCTACAGAATAAACCAGTATGAAATTAACAATGCAATAATAAAATGCTAGCGGCTTAGTAATATGTTTACTAAATTCAGAAATGCAAAGGCAACTTCTAAAACATTCTGATGCTTTGTTTCTGAAACAGTTCTGATAATACCACATAAAAATTGTGTTGTTAGTTAGCTTAAATAGCTTTTATTGGGGCTGGGGATTTAGCTCAGCGGCATAAGCGCCTGCCTTGGAAGCAGACAGTTGTGAGTTCGATCCCTGGTACCAATGAAAAGGAAAAAGACCAAAAAAAGAAAAAAAAATAGCTTTTATTTAAATTCTATTTTTGTTTATTTTTATTCTTTGGGTTTTTTGAGCCATGGTCTCACTATGTATTCAGGCTGGGCTTGAGTTCACTATGTAGCCCAGGCTGGCCTCAAACTTGTGGAGATCAGCCTCCCAAGTGTGGGGGTTACTGGTGTGCACCGCTGTTATATAGTTGTGAAGTTTTATTTTTATTGGTACATGTCTGTAGTCTATTATAACTACATTCATCATGGAGAGTTAGGAAATATACCTGACATTTTTCATTTCCTTTTTTAACCCCTTCTCCCTCCCTATTCCATTTGGTTCCTTTCTCATATACGTACAGTATAATATATATAATACATATTACATATAATTTATATTATACAGTACCCATATGTGTGTGTGTGTGTATCCACTTGAAATGTTTATAGTAATGATAATCACCTTCCTCACAGGGACTTGATATATGTACACAGCACTTCATAACCTTCTCCTTTCCCTGCTCTCCTACTGTCTTTTGGTTCGCTTTTCATATGCCAAGGATCCATCCATTTCCTATTGTCTGTTCTTTAGTTTGCACTTAGTATGTATTGGAAATCACATAATATTTAAGTGTGTGTTTGGTTTACTTCACTCAGCTTGAGACCACTTGTGGTCTCAAGGTGCACCCATTTTCCTACAAATGACTCAACTTTATCCTTCTTAATGGCAGAGTAGAAAGATAACCTCTTGGGGGCTGGGGATTTAGCTCAGTGGCATAAGTGCCTTCCCTGCAAGTGTGTAGTTGTGAGTTCGATTCCTGGTATCAATAAAAACGAAAAAGACCAAAAAAAAAAAAAAAAAAAAAAGACAACCTCTTTAACAAATGGTGCTAGGAAAACCAGTTATCCATGTGCAAGATTGAATCTACAACCACATCTATCTATACAGAACCAAAATGAAAATCAATCTAAATACTGAAATAGAAACAGCTTGCAAGAAGACAATATAATTCTTGAAGATACGGGGATAGGCAAAGGTTTTCTAAACAGAACCCTGGCTGCACAAGAAATAATTTCAAGAATCAACAAATGAGATCAAATCAAGTTAAAAAGCTTTTTGCACAGCAATGAAAACCAACACAATGAAGAAACAACCCACAGAATAGGAAAACATTTTGCCATCTATTCATTGAAGGACTATCTAGAATATAAAGAACTTAGAACACTGATTCCATCTCACTCCAGAAAATATGGCCATTTTCCAACAATCAAGAATGTTTGCGGGGGGGTGGTGGTGGTGGTGGTGGTGGTGGTGGTTCATAGTTGATAGAGTGTAAAATGGTACATCCACTACTCAAATCAAATCAGTACGGAGATTCCTCGAAAGACTAAAACTAGAAATCTCATTTGACCCAGCTATTCCTCTACTAGCTATCTTCTCAAGAGTTGGGCATATTAGAGTAATACAGGCATATCCATATTTACAGCAGCATGATTTGTAAAAGTTAAAACTTGAGAACAAACTAAATGTTCATCAACAGATGAACAGATAAAGAAAATGTGGTATTCATACATAATCAAGTACTACTCTGTCACATAAAGAATTTCTTTACACAATTTTGATAAACTTTTGAGGGAGGGAGGTGGGGGCTAAAACCCAGGACCTCACATATTAGCCAAGGGCTCTTCCACTCAAAGCCTTACCTTCCACCCTAATAAGTAAGCTTGTCTGTGCAAATCCAGAACTTGTAAAACTAAGGTAGATATTACTAGAATGGGGTAAATATTATAATGTAAAAATAATTTCTGATGGAATTCTAACAGTTGTAAATACGAACTATGGTCCCAAACAAAAGCAAACATGAACCCACTTTACAAAACATACTTTGAACAATGCACTCTGAGTTAAGAAAACAACTATCAACTTAGATGTGTTGGACCATGCCTGTGATCCCAGCTAATGGGAACGGCAGGAGCATCGAAGGTGCAGGCCAGCCTGGACAACTTAGTGAGACCTCTCAAAATTAAATGCCTGGCAGTGTAGTTCAATATGAGACCGCTTACCTACCACATAGGAGGGCCTGAGCTCAGCCCCCAGTACGTGCAAAACAAAAAACACTAACGCATCTTCTCATGGTGCAATGCTAGGATCAAGGGTACAAAGGATTAAGAGTGTGAGTGCTAGCCGGGTGTGATGGCTCACGCCTGTAATCCTAGCACTTGGGATGCTGAGGCAGGAGGATTGCTGGGAGTTCGAGACCAGAATGGGCTGCAAAGTGAGCTCAAGACCAGCCTGAACTACATAATGAGACTCTGTCTCAAAAAGACAAAAAAAAAAGTTTCCCAAGAAAGGCCAACGATTTAGCTCAGTGGCTCAAGCACTTGCCTGGTAAGCACAAGGTCGTGAGTGCAATCCCTTATACAAAAAAAAAAAAAAAAGAGTGTGAGTGCTACCTGCCCTAACTAGCTTGGATAAAATATAAAGGATAGAAAGAATTCTAGTTGACCCTCGTTGCTCTGCTACCTTCTGCCCAACATGGACTGTTTCTCCTCTGCAGTACCTGTCTGCCATGCTACCACCCTGCCTTGGAGCCAGATTACAGATAGACTCGCCTTTTCTCCTTTAACTTTGGGTGTTGGCATTTTGTACCAGCAACAAGAAAAAGTAACTAAGTCATTACTTTACCAGGCATAGTGCTCCTTTCTTGTCACCTACCTTCTGTATGTGTGCCATAATAAAATATAATCAGCCAAGGGAACACTGTCATGGTAAAAAAAAAAAATAAACAAGGGAAGACTTTTACAAACAGCATTCCTATACATCAAGTAACCAAATTCTTAACCTTGACAGTCTATACATACTTCAGCTTTTGAGTTGTGAGGCATTTTACAGAGGTACCTGTTGACCCTGTCATCCCATTTGAGAACTAGGTTCCAAATAAATGATTTGAAAGAAACCAATCATGTATAGATGTGCTTAGAACCGTTATTACCTATACAAAAGAATAAAGCTGACCATATTTTAAAAACCCAATAGTGAAAAATATAAAGTTTCCTCAAGTCACTCTTGGAAGAATATGGCAAGCTGAGTACTTGGCCAGGCTATAGGACCTGGTTGTTTGCAGAAAGCATTTGCAAAGCCCTGGTCTTGCATATGAACTAACTGGATACTGAGAGCAACACAGCGCACATGGCTGTATGGATGTAAGACACACCACACTGATGTCCAACCACATGATGAGCAACACATGTACAATCCTAATAATACCAAACACTATGCCAAGGTATACATTTATACAGTCTCATTTAATTCTTCACATCACTGTAACAGAGGAATAATTTTCAAGTAAAGGGAAGCTCCAAGAGATTGAGTAATTTACCTAAGAAAATCAGTTATCAGAGCCAGGATTCAAATTTAGTATGAATAAAAAAGTATATGGAAAACCTAGCAGCACAGGATTTTATATAATGAAGACTAATAGAATAAAGTACACGTTCAATTATCATCTCTTTTGCAATGCCAAAATGCCTGAATTAAATAAAACATTTATAGCCAAAGAACATCAATTTTATATTACTTACTAATGATCAGTTTAGGATTACTGCCTGTCTCTACCATAAAACTTGATTTGGTATCTGCTACATTCATGGAAGACACACATTTTAAATTCTAGGCCCTTGAGAGGCTTACAGGAAAAGGAAACTGTAATCCCAACAGGTGACAGAGAACTTCATAAACATTTAAGAAAACCAAAGTAGTACAATAAAGCAAGATGAACAACTGCAAAGTTAATCTTAAGACTGAAGGACCAAGAAATACATAGAGATGCCTCCTCTTTTAAAATAGTAAATAGTGCTGGGGCCGCAGCTGAGTAGCAGAGCATGCGCTCGGTATGGGCAAGGCCCATGGGTTCAATCACAGCACCAGCCAATACACTGATCAGTAACGGGAAGAGGAATCAATTTGGAGGAACTGCTTTTTTAAACCAGACTACAGATTTTTGTAAGCTCCACTTGCAACAGTTAATGTTAGGATCTATTGGATGCTGACAAGCTATATTCTATTGTTTCAATATGATTAGGCTTTTAAGCTAAATAACAAAGTCCCCAGCATCATCACCCCTCCAAAAGTTAAAAAAAAAAAAAAAAAAAGATTGCCTCCTGCTTTTGGCTACAAAACAAACAAATGATTTGGATTTACTACCCTGCGACAAGATGACTGAGCAAAATGTAAGAAAAACTGTTTTCAGACAATAAATACCACGGAGCACAGGACTGCAAAAAACAGAAAGCAAGCCTTGTATGTGTTCCACTGTCCTAACCACAAGGAGTTTCCAGGACAAGGTGATGAGGCAAGTGAATCCAGACACTTATCATCTGTAGCTACAGGAAACCAACAGCAGAGCCTAGGATATTCGGCTGAACCTAGAGCAGGAAATACATGGTTTGACACCAGATCTGGGAAAGAGTAACCATAGTGGAGCCCCCACCAGCCAGACAAGAAGAGAAACCTCACCATCAACATGTCAGGCAATTCTCCTTAGAGCTAGTAATGAGTCTACATCAGCACTAAAGCAGAACGTCCTA